AATAATTTCTTATGAACAGATTTTCTGCTGTGCCTCCTTGAACTCTGATCATGGTGTGCCAGGTGTTAAAGAGGAAAAAGGAAAGTTGAGCTCTTGAGAAGATGAAAGTGTTTGTGTCATGAGTAATCAGAAATCCCGTGCAGCTAAGCCACCTAACCAGATCACTAGCCAGGCTCTTCCGAACAGCAGGGTCTGCCAGAGGAGAAGGGGGCACATAGATGGGTCTTGGCACCAAAACCTGTGCTTGACTGTCCCCTCCGGATGGCAGTTTTGCAGAACGGTTACTTTCTTTCTTTTTTTTTTTTTTTTAAAGTTCACTTTGAACGTTTCTTTTACTTCTTTCCTTCAAATCCTGTGGTCACATAGCAACTGTTCAGCGACTGTGTGTTTCTAGTGTCTTAGCGTCAGTGCTTTTGCCAGTGTCAAAGAAGATCCCAGGCATGATCAGCTTTCAGGAACCCTAAAGCTGTTGCTCTTACAATGAGGTCTTAGGTTTTTTTTTTTTTAATGAAGTCAACCTAGTTTTTGTAACCTTCTTTTCAATAATTAAAAATGTAAAATTCTACCCAGAGTCATTTTCTGTGCCAGGGCTTCATCTTAATATCTGACTTGAACTGCAGATCTCTTATTAACACAGCCTATGTAGGAGGCTCTTAGACAGGAGTTAAAGAACCCCGATACACGGATGCATGGCCCATAGTGTTGTTACATTAAATGCCCCAAGGTGCCGTATTCAGTTATCTTACTATGTTTGGTTGGATGTAGACCCAATGTCAGAGATTTCTTTTTCCACTTACCACCCACGGGTTCTTTCCCCCTTTTGGTATAATTGATAAGGCTTGTGTGCCTAATACTGGTGTTAATTTTTTTAACCGCGGCTGTAATATGATACAGTTTACTTGCTGAGTCATCTCAAAATCTTATTCATGTTTCTTTCACTTAAAAAAAAAACCACTTGAATTTCTAATTTCTATGCTATTCTTGGCTTAGATTTCAATTATCCTTCCAGTCATAGGTAGTAGAGTAGGGCTTTATCTTTTTACTTTAAAAAAAGTTCTCATTACATGTCAAATTGGAGCATAAATTAAATTTGAAGGTCAACTCAAAACAGTATTCTTGCCTAGAGAATCCCATGGACAGAGAGCCCTCACAGGTTGCAGTCGATGGGGTCTCAAAGAGTCGGACACAACTGGGTGACGAACACTTTCAAAACAGTTACTGACAAACTTGTCAAAAACTAAGGAATCTCTTTTAAAAATATTCAGAAGAGAGATGCCATATTTAATTTGATTGGAGCATATTATTTTTGTGACATTCAAGTTTATCACATATATTTTTAATCATTTAAAGTAACAGATTATATCCCATTTATGAATTTATTATTGTTCTGCAGCCAGAGATGGGATCCTGAAGTTAAGTGTAAAAGGAATTTAGCAATTACAAAGTGTAATTATAAACAAATGGGCATCATTTCCTTAATTCTTTCATATAAATCAGTCATGCAAGAGAAGGATGTTTCGTGGATAATCACCAAGGATTAGAGACAGATCAAACAGTTTCCCAGAAAATGACTGTCTCCAAAATACGCATTCTTTCCTTCCCTGATAAACTCCTCTGTTCCTCCGCTTCATATAACCCTTTTCTTCCCACAAGTTAGTAAACTCCTTTCGGCAGGGATCATATCCTGGGGATCTTCATTTCCTCAGGTCCCATCAAGATGGTTGTTAAATTTCAGGATGACCCTGCATTTTTTCATGGTAGGAAAGGAACCATGGAAACTTTACCAAGACGAGTCTCTGTTGTCTTGCTTTTCACTGAAAACCATCAGAAGCCTGTTTCTTCCATTAAAGATATTGTGTCATAATCATCTGTTAATAAGGGACCACTCCCTCTGTTTGCCTTGGATTAGAGTGAATTCCAGGGCCTGAAAGCTTGATGCTGATAGGCATAAAACGGATGTACCAATTATATCATTCAGTGGCCGGGCCCTGAAAGAATGTCAGGAAGCACATCAACTAAATGAAGTTAAATGGATGCAGCCTTTCCTTCCTGTGTTGGCTTTACATTCATCAGAGGCATGTTAGTTCAGAATTTGGTTCTTGCACAGTGTAGGCCAGTAATAACCCAGAGAGGTAGTTACATGAAGATGGGTACCTATCAACCCCCATCCTCTTTTGTTTTCTCCTAGAAGGCGTAACCTACCTTTCTAACCACTACAGTGTTTTCTAGGAAGTAGTTTTAATTTGGGTCACATCTTGAGCAACTGCTATGTTCCAGTCCCTTGGTGGAGTGTTGGTGACCAGCCACGGACGAAGGGGGTCATGATCCCTGACCCTATGGAGTGTGAGAACCCTAAATGGGCAAACGTCGGTGGGGAAAATATTGAGTTTTTTTTTTTAAAGCCGTTATGAAGTTTTCAGTTATTAAGTGTCTCAAAGCAGTGACAAGTGATTAAATCCCCATGAACGGATTGGAATAAAATGAGTTTAATCGACTAAACTTTCCATTTTCAATCAATCCTAAATAAGTGTTCACTCCTAGACAGTTAAATAAGTCCCATGTGAATCATGGAGTTTTCTCTCTCTGACATCAGGAAAGAGCTACTACCAGTCACTTGTTATATATACATTGCCTTGGAAATGTACCTTGTACCTGTCACCATAGCAACACCCCAAGAATGACCTCAGCAGCCACTCAAAATCATTCGTACAAAACAAATTATAGCTACAATTAACTCTCTGAATTTACTCTGCAATGTAAGTTTGTCCAGACCTCGGTGTTTCTCTGTTAAAGGTTAAATGAATGGAATAGTCCAGCATGAACCCATCCCTCCCATATTCCATCAAAATTTTCCCCCCAAACAGGAGGCGCTTCGGTGGAAAGTGCAATTCAGTTAAGAGATTATTCCATTGTTACCTCTTCTCAGAATGAGACAAGAGTCAACAAATGAGCATGGGCTAGTCTTAGCGTGCTAGAATTCCATTTCTAAGGGAATAGAGTGGCTTTTTTCCCTAAGCAAATGTGAAATGCAGGAGGTGCTGTGAGTCCCTCCCAAATCCTGAAGCCCGGGATGAGGGGCCCACATCGGATTGAGGCTTATGCAGGTAGAAGCTGTCCACGTTGGCTGGTTCCTATCAGTCAGTAGAGAGCTAACAACCAGCTAGAGAATCATTGATGTGTTTGAGGTAAGGCCAGTAAAATACTCATTAGTTGTTTTGTATTAAAAATTTCCAGACTAATACAGTTTTGTCTTAAAGAGTTGATACAGCTGCAAAAAGGTGGTAATTTATTTCTTTGTTAAAGCCATACCCAGGTTTACTGTTTTATGATCCCTGAATCTTAGAGACTTAATGTGGTATTTTTTTCACTACTCAGTTTCAAATTTAACCATGTCATTGATATGGAAACACCACTAGTAAGAAGGATATTTGAATAGTGTTAAAACTAACTCTCAGCATAGGAAATCATCCATCCATTCAGCAAATAATCATGAAGTATTATTTGCTGGGCACTCATTTAGGTAATAAGGAGTAACAGAGGGTGAGACAAAGTCTTTTTCCTGGATAGGTCATGTCAGCTGAGTATTCATGCTCTTGCTAAGTTATGCCTCACACCAGACAGTCCCTGTTCTGTATCTCAGAACTCACTCTGTCTTGTTCGTGGGCATAAAGGTATTGAGGATATAGTCTCTTTCATGTCTATAATGGTTCTACCTTTTCTTTAAATCTTTTTCACATGTTAGTTACTTTCTGTATATCCTTCGTAGTTGCATGTTTTGAAATCTTACCTGTGCTCCATACCTTTCAGGGCCAACGGGAACATAGGGTCTCTTTGAAATCATGAGGATACCATGCAGAACAGTCATGCTTACCTGTTTCTCATCAGTTATGTGATTTCTCACCAATTATGTGATTCTCACAGTTGCAAATATTTTTTTAATTTTAGAGAATGAAATATAACATTTTTGAAATGACAAAATTCTACTGACAGAGAATATATGTGTGGTTGCCAGGGGTTAGAATTGGGATGGGTAACACAAAGAAGTTTTTCTGATAGCAGAACAATTCTGTATCCTGATTGTGGTGGTGACTGCACAGATCTCTATGTGAAATAAAATTTCATAGTTGTATATACCCTCCAAAAATGTGTGTGTGTGTGTGTATGTGTGTAAAAATTGATGAAATCTAAATAACGTCTAGTTTAGTTAATATTATTGGATCAATGTCAGATTCCTGGTTTTGATAATGTACTGTGGTCATGTAAGATATTATCTTTGGGGGAAATTAAATGAAGGGCACAGGAGAATTCTCTGTAATATTTTTGCAGCTGCTTGTGAGTCTAAAATTATTTCACAGTGAAAAGGCTTTTTTTTTTTTAAATGGAGAAGTGTTATATAAGCAGATAAATTTAAAGTTTAGGTGTAATGATTCTATACACTGGGAATATCTGGCCTTAGATATTGATGCCTCAGTAGCTAGAAATCTTGTGGCTTCACATAAATTGTGAATGACTCAAACTTTGGATAGAGTTGAGGACATAGTATGCTGTTGTCTTATAAGGAAATACATTCCAGGAAAGGACTCTGGTGTTCTGTTAAAAAGAAAAAAAAAATGCATCCTGACCTTATGTGTCACTCTGTTATCTGTTTTATACAAATAACATTTGTGTAAATAATTCAAGAGCTATTTGCTTTAAACTCCTGCTCAATCACCAGATCTGCTAAACAAGTACAGGGCAGGAGACTGATTTAATTCTTTTCTTCTCCCCTTTTACTTTTGGTCTGGGTTCTATTTGATTGTAAGAGAAGAAGTGAGAAATACCATGAACCATGTCGTCATAGATGGATAACCTTGCTATGACTTGTGGAAGGGTGACTGCACCTGTCACTTCCTGATTTTCTCTTTCTTTTCTCTTGGGATGCATTGTTTCCCTTCCTTCTCCATCAGCAGGCGATGTGCGATGGTGTCACTGACTTTCTCACTGTGTCTTCCCTCCTCCAGCTATCTTAATGACTTGGACCGCGTTGCTGACCCTGCCTACCTGCCTACGCAGCAAGATGTGCTCAGAGTTCGAGTCCCCACCACAGGGATCATCGAATACCCCTTCGACTTACAAAGTGTCATTTTCAGGTAGTAACTGAGTCCGTAAAATCCACTTCCCAGCTCTTAGACCTGGAGCACGTTGGTGAATATATATTGAAATCATGTATAGACTTTAAAACAATAACACCTTTATACCAGTTATTATCATTAGGTACATAAATGAAGTAATGTGTCCCTGAAAGAGTAAGTAGAAGAAAGACGCATGAACAGGTTTCTTATTTCAGATTAAATCACTAAGAAATCAGTGAAATCAACATAAGTTGCTTCAAAGATTTAAAAACACAAGGTTTTGAAAATGCATTGATTAACCTAGCCTAAATTTACATAGGAAAATAGAATGAAGATTTATTACTTTCTCCTTCACTACTGCTATTCTTTCTGGGTAATACTTCAGCAGAAGTAGTCTAATTTTTTTTAAGATGAGAAAAAATAAGACTGCTTTCATTTAACACTCTTATTACACAATCTCTCAGATGTACTTTTAGTTAGAATACAAGCCGCATGGTGCATGGAGCAATGAAACCATGTGAAGTAATTAGCCTCCAACTAATAAAAATAAATGGAAAAAAAAAAAGAGTAATACTCAAAATAAATAAATAAATAAATGAAATAAAATTCAAATATAAAAAAAAAAAAAGAAAGGTGAGTTACTTGGAAGAACCCATCCTATTTAAGGCAGCTACATAGAATACAGGGTTGTGAAGTGGGGGTTAATGTAACTTCTACAGTGTAACTGCCCCGTTACTCTGATAAGCAGGTCCTCCGTCATTGCCTGCAAAGCACTGTGTGTTTTATTCTAATCAGTCTCAGCACCTGTGCTGGCATCTGTTAGACATATCCATAAAGAGGGTGACACTTTGGAAATAATTTCTGAGCATCATTTTTTTCATCAATAAAATGGTTACATTAGATGATCACTAAGGTTCCTTATAGCTTCAGCATTCTGGATTAAGTTTTGAGTTCATAGCATTTAGAGATCTTTCATTTGAAACACCACATTTCCATCTGGTTCTAACCTTGTTAGTATATTTTCAGAAGACATGTAGCATTTCATGGAGATTTTCGTCTCCTCTTTGCTTTATGATTAGTGAAATCTGAAACCATGTCACTATTCCATCTTGGGGACGTTGTTTCCTTCATTTTGTGTACTAACTTTTAAAGGACATTTTTTGGTACTTCAATAAAAGTAATGACAGAATAATAATTTCTTGCTACAATCAAAAGCATCTTATAGAGCTTAGCATGACAGGATTTCAGGGAATGAGCATTTCATATAAATGAACATACTATTCACTCAACACCAGAGAAGAGCTAGCATTTTAATATTTATAAAGACCTAAGAATCTAGTTTTGATGTCTGTAGTTCATAGGTCTCCCTGGATCCAATGTTTTGCTCCTCAGATATCTCTTTCATGAAAACTTTTCAAAGCAATCACTGGAACATCCTTGATTTCTTAATTTAGGTTTGACGCTGAGAGCCAGAAAGACACCAAGAACAACTGCAGTTCTCAACAAACACTTTCAGAACCCTACTCCCAAACTTTTTGTACCTAAAATTCTCATTTTCTGAAAAGATTTATCTTGTAAACATTGTGCACATTTTAGTCAATAATTTGAAGAAACTTAGATTCAATATTAAGTTCTGCTAGATATTTTCATGTGTACATTAGCATTCAAGTTAATTGATGTCGGTTCCTGAGCAATGAGTTAGCACAGAGTTGATGTATAAAAACAAATTCTTGAAATAATTCATATGGTGGCTTCTTACAGCATCTTAATTTTATACACATGACTTCTTGCAGCATAGCAAGTTGATTTATGCATAAGACTTATTCCACCATGTTATTGGCATGATTGTACAAATTATTGTCAATATTGGAAGAAAAAAACAGCCTCAAATGCTGGAAGATCAGTGGGGTTGTGTTTGCATTTACAGATTTACACACTCATGTTGAAATGTATGGCATCTTACAGCCTTTAAATGCCTTTGCAGTCATCTCTAGCTTTTTTGAGAAATACATGAAGATCTTCATTCTCATTTTATAGGAAAAGAAACTGAAGACAGTATTTGCCATTAGAGCTGAACACAAATAAAACTCATTTTGTTTCTGACTCTTCTACGCTTGGTCAAATAAAACACCCTTTTGGCTTGGCTTGGCACAGGATTTCTTTCTTTCTTTTTTTTTTACAAAGTCATAATTTTCATACATGCCAGGTAATTTTTTAATAGCCACAATGATTTATTATGTGGAATGTCTTGACTTTGATTTTGGGTAACAGAAAATTAGTAGATGGTCAATAAATATTAATTGAATTGACTTTGGTGACCTATTCTCTTCAGAAAGTATATTTCTTAAGTTTATAAGTAAAGCTATATTTATATTGACACTTTTCTTTATGTGCTATTAATATGAATATTATTAACCTTGCAGAATGGTCGATGTAGGGGGCCAGAGGTCAGAGAGAAGAAAATGGATACACTGCTTTGAAAACGTCACCTCTATCATGTTTCTAGTAGCGCTTAGTGAATATGATCAAGTTCTCGTGGAGTCAGACAATGAGGTGAGTGCTCTGTGAACAGGCAATGGGTTATCATTTTAATATCTGATACAAATAACTGATAAGGCTTGGGATAAACTGACTTCATTGCTTTCTTGACTACTGATTTGAGAATTTTTTAAATAACCCAAAATAACCCTGTTGTACCACTCAGAACAATAAGATGTTTGAGCAGGTCTGTGTGTTCAGGTCTAATTAGACCCTATTTGATACTTTTTACACTAGACAGAGGCTCTGAAAATGAAAATAACCAGGAAATCCCTAGGCTAATCATCACACTGTTTTATAGACTTCTTCCTACAGGATGGAGCTAAGGGTATTGGAGTGAGTCAGCCTGTTTTGTTTTGTTTTCATTTTGTTTGAATCATTGTTTGTGTGAGGGGTGGGTCCCAAAGAATACTCAAAACCTCTCTTGGCAAATGTGAGTGACTTTGCAGCTGGGCTCTAAATCAGTTTGTTCTGGAGCCAAGAAGTGTCCTGGTGATGTGGCCTCCCTGCTCTTACAGAATTCTAGAGGCTATTGCAAAACTTTATCTCTGCTAAGCACTGAGTGAATGAAAAAGCATCCTTGATATGCCTGTCTGGAGAGCTGATTCAGGGTTGTCATCTCCCTATTGCATGAAATTCTGACAAGTATAAATATGGATTTTTAGGATGATAAAGGCGCCATCATGAGTCAGAGTTGATTGTGGAGAATATTTAAGGGACATAGGAAGCTGTGACTTTGGTCTAGAGCTCGGTGTGTGTACTGGGGAAATGGAGAAGACACCACTGTTTTCCTGCTAGAAGCAGAGTTTGCAGACCGACATGCCAATAGCAGATGTTAAATATCCTCCTAGTAGGGTAGGAAATAAAGAGAAGGACGCGAGAAATCCCCAAGAGCTGATTAAAATAAGATCTGGCATATTAAAATGTACTTCTGATTTTGTACATTTTTGGGGTACACAAGAATTCTGGCTTCTTGGTCCTTTTAAATATTTTATTTTTCTTCAGGTGTTAGTATTTCCATTATAATACAGATCCAGTCCTCCTTAGCATTTCTTTTGTATATAGAATTGATAAAAAGTTGATGAACAAATATCCCATATGGAGATAAGTTACCTGTTCATACATTTCAAATGTTTCCTGGGTTATAAGTATTTGGGCTTTTGAACCAAAGAAGTTCTTTTTTTTTTTCATGTATATCTTGTTATTTAAGAGACTTCTTTTTAATAATGAGGTTTATCACCATTTGCATTCTGTAACACAAAATGCCTGAAAAGTATGTGAGAATAATTATCACACTTTTGCGTGATAATAAATTATCAAATTTATTAAGAATTTTAGATATGCTATCTCAATATGTATTTTTATTTTTATATCTGTTTGTTACTACATAATCTTTGGATATAATATTTTAAAGACATTATATATTTTGGAAGAATATGACAACATTTTTTATTTATTTGAATGTTGAATCAAGACAAAAGATATTTTGAGGGCTCATTCTACTATGTGCTAGATACCAGGCTATCTAAAGAGATACAGAAATGGGGGGGGGGATTGACACTGGCCTAAAGGACCTCGTAAAAAGAAGGATGCTTTTTGTCAGTATAGAGAGTAGGAGAGGAGAAAGGCCTTAGTTGTAAAGGTCATCATTTCTCTTCTTTAATTTGCTGTCCAGTGAAATAAAATTTTAAGATGTTTTCAACTACACAGAAGATGTAAGAAGCATGCATAATTTAATTTCTTTTGTCACTATTTACATATAGCTAGAGGAAAACAAATGTTTATCAATACATATTTTATATGATAAATGCATTATATTTATAAAGAAATATATTTTGTGATTTAATGCTAATGAGTTTACCACTTCAAAACTTGCAACTCATCAGCTAATTCTAGCACATAAATCCAGTTAAAGTTTCCACAGAATGAAAGTTTCCACAGTAACTTGCCATTCAATGTATAGGTACTTACGTACATCTAAAAATATATCAGTTTCTTGATTCCTGTGGTGGTGTCTTATGCTGCAAATTAAAATAATAAATCTGTTACTGTTCATTAGGACTCCCTAATCACTTGTGCATACTTTTTAAGCCTACTTTGTAATTTTATGATGTTCTTTTCTCAAACATCATGTCAAGTCTGATTGGTAGTACTGGAGATGGTCTTAAACTTAATAAGAATAAATAATACTGCTCATTAGTTTCTTCATCCATGTTATCCATAGCCATCACTGTTGGTAATTGGGAAACACTATCAAAAGTATTTTTAAATGTCAGGATGTAGTCCATTATTCTTTTTTATTTTCCAATTAGAATAATATATGAAAATATCATTGCCTTTACTTTCTCAAATCTTTAAGAAAACTCAGAACTATAGAATTCTACTTTCCCCACACTTTTAGGGTTTGGTGAGACAAAGCTGGAATAAACTCCTAAAACATTTTGTTCTTTTGAAATCTGATGTTCATAACTCTAATCCAAAGCAGATTTTGTTGTACTTCCCTTGATATATATTCATGAGAAAAATGTAGGAATGGATACTGACAGCTGCCTTTTTATCTTGGGGAACTGTGGAAAATGCATTGCAGACCACTAGCAAAAGCAGTTAAAGGAAGTATTTTATTTTAAGTTATTGCTTTGGCTTTTAATATTTTAAAGCTTTATGTATTAGTCCTCAGAATTTTTATGTAGATATACGTTTGTCTGTCTAGATTCTGTCTTCCAAGAGTTTGGGGAATGAATTTCTTTATCTTTTTTCTCCAAAAAAGGAAATACGTGGTCAAACAGTGGGTGAGCATGATCAGGGTTGTAGAGCTGTGTTGATTTCCATATTCCTTTTGCTGTCTTGGTTTCCCTGTGGTAGCATACCAGCATGGAGCCAGCTATTCTGCTCTAATCCTTTCACATGTGCATTATTTCAGTGTCCCTGAAAGTCCAGAAAACACAATAAAGCATTTGCATAACATAGTTCAGGTCATCGGTGTATATCCACACTCCATCTTTTAATCCTGTTTTTGTGGTTCTCTGTTATGTGAATATCTGAGCACTAATACATTGCTGTTTCTCAGATACTGACTGAGGGACTGTCTTCTTACAGACTAAGCTTTTTATAGAATCACAAAAACTCACTCTTTTTCTCCAGCACTTCTTTTTTGAGTGTATGCTTCTCAGTTCAGTTTAGTCACTCAGTCGTGTCCGATTCTTTGCAACCCCATGAACGACAGCACGCCAGGCCTCCCTGTCCATCACCAACTCCCAGAGTTTACCCAAACTCGTGCCCATTGAAATCGGTGATGCCATCCAACCATCTCATCCTCTGTTGTCCCCTTATCCTTCTGCCCTCAGTCTTTCCCAGCATCAGGGTCTTTTCAAATGAGTCAGCTCTTCGCATCAGATGGCCAAAGTATTGGAGTTTCAGCTTCAACATCAGTCCTTCCAATGAACACTCAGGACTGATCTCCTTTAGGATGGACTGGTTGGACCTCCTTGCAGTCCAAGGGACTCTCAAGAGTCTTCTCCATCACCATAGTTCAAAAGCATCAATTCTTTGGTGCTCAACTTACTTCATAGTCCTACTGTCACATCCATACATGACTACTGTAAAAACCATAGCCTTGACTAGACGGACCTTTGTTGGCAAAATAATGTCTCTGCTTTTTAATATGCTGTCTAGGTTGGTCATAACTTTCCTTCCAAGGAGCAAGCGTCTTTTAATTTCATGGCTACAGTCACCATCTGCAGTGATTTTGGAGCCCAAAAAAACAAAAGTCAGCCACTATTTCCACTGTTTCCCCATCTATTTGCCATGAAGTGATGGGACAGGATGCCATGATCTTAGTTTTCTGAATGTTGAGCTTTAAGCCAACTTCTTCACTCTCCTCTTTCACTTTCATCAAGAGGCTTTTTAGTTCCTCTTCACTTTCTGCCATAAGAGTGGTGTCATCTGCATATCTGAGGTTATTGATATTTCTCCCAGCAATCTTGATTCCAGCTTGTGCTTCATCCAGCCCAGTGTTTCTCATGATGTATTCTGCATATAAGTTAAATAAGCAGGGTGTGTATGCTTCTAAATTACATTAATCCTCTTGAAATGGTCACAACCAATTAGGTTTTAGTTTTATTAAAATATTGAGATAGTTCCCTGTATCCCAGGTCCTCCTTTGCACCAAGACAGATTCCCCAATATTGGTTCCCATAAACGTTTATTCTTCAAATCTGATTCTTAGAGTTGCTCAATTGATTGAAAAAAAAAAAAAACTGTCAAAGGAGAACATAGACATTTGTAATACCTTAGCACTCAATGCCTGTTCAAAACTTGTTTAAACCATTCCTCACTGGATCTCACTGGCTGACCTCCTGTGCGGAGAAGATCGGGTTTGCTGAGAATGGAGAGATTAAGGCCATGGGCAGGATCATTCAGGCCCCCGTTCCCCTGCCCTTCTAGACCAACTTTCTTTCCCCTACTTCACAGTGTCTTCCAGAAGTTACAGATGAGCTCAGAGAAAAAGCAAGAGAAGCTGTTAAAGGTAGCCAAGAGCACAGAGGTAGAATGTAAATACTGACCCTGCGAAGCGTGAAACCACTCTTTTCCATCTCTAAGCTCTTGTTACACTCATAGTGGATCAGCCAGAGATCCTTCACCAGTCGTTCAGTTTCTGAATTACTCTTGTGATTTTAACTATCTTCAAACAGTCTAAAATGTGCATTTCTTTCAGATGTTTCTCCTCTATGGAGTCTTTCAGTTCCGTTCAGTCACTCAGTCATGTCTGACTCTCTGCAACCCAATGAATCGCAGCACGCCAGGCCTCACTGTCCATCACCAACTCCCAGAGTTTACCCAAACTCATGTCCATTGAGTCGGTGATGCCATCCAACCATCTCATCCTCTGTCATCCCCTTCTCCTCCTGCCCTCAATCTTTCCCAGCATCAGGGTCTTTTCAAATGAGTCAGCTNGAGTCGGTGATGCCATCCAACCATCTCATCCTCTGTCATCCCCTTCTCCTCCTGCCCTCAAT